AATTACCTGCATTTACATTCCACAAACTGCATCTATATTAACAAAATTCATGATTCAACACTGACCAGAAAAAAAACACTATTCTGCTTGACCAGTACATTTTGGCGGTCCTAAAAATGTGTATGATGAAAAAGAAAATATTGTGGTTTGTGTGTGTAAATTCATTCATCTTTGTTCTGACCAACCTTTTACAATGAATGATACGTAATAGTCAAAATTACAATTAATTTGTGGTTAAAAGATTATTTATGATATTAATACCAAAAAAAAATAACTAAACATTTCTACTTTGGATAGTGGGCCAGCGTTAACTAATTTGCACTAACCTGAAACAAGCTTGCAGTTACTACCGGGGTACAATCTGGAAATATTAAATTATGCAGTCCAGAATAATTAATAAAATTTGCAATTGTTTTATTCTTGCAATTAAGCAGTAATTGTTCTATTTCTAGAAAAAAATTAAAATAAGGGTTACTTTATTTACTTATTTTGTAGGCTAAAGAAATTCTTAGCAAGGAATCCAATGTACAAGATGTGAGATGCCCTGTTACTGTTTGCGGTGATGTACACGGACAGTTTCATGATCTCATGGAACTCTTCAGAATAGGTGGTAAATCTCCAGACACAAACTACTTGTTCATGGGAGACTATGTGGATCGTGGTTATTACTCTGTAGAAACTGTTTCTTTGTTAGTAGCTCTTAAGGTAAGTTATTTTTGAGTTGATTTAAGTTAAATTATTAGTCCTCGTTCGGACAAAGTCCGAAAACGGAGACTTATAATTCGGTCTCCTTGCGACCGTCCGGAGTCATATCTCAGAATCCGTTGGACCGATTTCGTTCATTCTTTGCATGTGCCTAGTACTTTATGTGGGACATATGCACATGCAGTGGTTTAGCGATTTGATTCAAAATGGCCGACTGGCATCCATCTTGTTTTTTGAAAATGTTGTATTTTGGACATGCTTTGTCAGTTTTCATTCAAATTTAGTACATAGATCATACATGTTAGGATACATGTCCTGACCGTCCGTGAGTTCCTGAGTCTGTCTGTCCGTCCGTCCGTGTGTTCGTCTGTCCATGCGTCAGTCTGTCCAGAGTCATATTTCAGAATCCTATTAACCGATTCCCTTCATTCTTTGCATGTGCCTAGCACCTTATGTGGGACATATGCACATGCAGTGGTTTAGCGATTTGATTCAAAATGGCCGACTGGCAGCCATCTTGTTTTTTGAAAATGTCGTATTTTGGTAGTGCTCTGTCAGTTTTCATTCATACATACATGTACTTTATACATGTTAAGATGCATGTCCATGACAATTTGTTTAAAAATCTGGTCAAAGCTGGCCGATTGACAGCCATCTGACTTTTTGGCCTTACTACTATATTTCCACAATTTATGTACCATTTTCATTCGTATTTGGCACATACATCATTCATATCAGTGTGTTTCATAATCAGATCTCAAAGATGGCAGAATTACGGCTGTTTTAATTTTTGGCCATATTACTACTACACAGAACACGTGCTTTGGATGAAAATAAACAATCTGTTGTATACGCCACTTGGAACTCAAGTTTCAAGAACACACTTGCGACAACCCCTCCGCTTTAATATGATGAGCACAAAGAGAACTTTCAAACATTTAACGGTGACTGTGTCATTTTCAATGACTTGTTTTTGATCCTCTTAGAAGCACAACAATTTGACATTGTTGTCTGCTATACAATTTAAAAACAAATTGACATTGTAGGATTCACTTAACAAGCAAGTAAGATGTATTTATTACAGATTTCATTCATGTCTATTCACAAATTTCAATCTAATAAAAACAACAGAACAATTGTAGCATCTATTCCCAAATCAAATTACGCCAATTTTGTCATAGTCCCTTTAAAGATGGTCGGTTGGCGGCCATTTGTATTCTTTGTTCCATATAAAAGGCATGACTGTTATGACCATTAAGAGTTTGAATTTCATGTAAACGATGAATTTTACAGGCATATGTCACGTAGGAACTATAATTACCACTGTCTGTCAATTTTCATTAGTCACTAAATGTGAATCACAATAAGAACTGTATTAAAACATGATTCAACTTTGAAAGGTGGTGTCCTGTATTTGTGAACATCTTGGTGCAATGATATATAGAGCCTTTGTTTAGAAATCATGTTTTCTCTCAATGTTAAACAATGTTGTTGAATTCTTGCCAGTTAGCTATTGGTATTGATAACATGCTTCTTTTCACTGATATCATTTAATTCTTCAAAATAGTATCAAATGTTTTATCTGGCATTAAATGCTAACAAAATTATGTTGAATTTTTTTACAGGTCCGTTTTAGGGAACGTATTACAATATTGCGAGGCAATCATGAAAGTCGACAAATCACACAAGTATATGGTTTTTATGATGAATGTCTACGAAAGTATGGTAATGCTAATGTATGGAAATATTTTACAGATTTGTTTGATTACCTTCCATTAACAGCTATAGTAGATGGACAGGTGAGTCTAATAAAGTTTATAATTTGTATATCATTCACCATACATCATTGAGTTATCAATCAATAAAATGAAAAGGTTGTCTTATAATATTTACTTGATTAGTCACATTTGTTATTGCGTACAAGTATTAATCACAAAATGACTGTTTTACTATACACCTGATTTCATGAGGTGAAACATCGTCCTAATTGTACGTCTGTGAATACTAATTTTGATTTTACACTAAATATGGGTACCATATAATACCTCATATAAGCGCCACCCTAGATTAGGCGCCAGTACAATAGAAAAGGTGATAATTTTCACACCAATTAGGCGCCAGTCAAAGTTGAATGTTTGTGTAAAACCGTGAATTCCCCATCTGGCCGACGTCCGCCTAACACTTGAGCTAATCTTTTTCCCCCACAACACATGCACAAAACTAACAATACACTGTACAATCTCTTGAATAGGTGTCAGAGAAGAGTAAAATGCCTTACTTTGGCTCTAAAATAGACGTTACGAAATGTTGAAAAATTACGGTCAATCAAAAAAAAACTGTTCACATGATAAAAAAAATACTCAGTATATTTAATGTAATATGCATTTATTTTCTTTAATTTTCTTGGTAACGAAAAGTATATTCTAAAAGAGGTTTTAAATAAAAACAAACACGAATGCACAGCTTAGTAGCAAATGATCACTGTACGGTAGCGCAATCCGGCCATGCTGCGGTTCACAAGTGACTAACTTACTTGTTTTCAAAGTGTTGAAATTGGTGATTATTATTCAGTGGTGATTATAGTAACGCACAAAAAATAAATCCGTTGAAATTTATTATATTGAAAATATCCGCCATATCTTTGAATGCACACGAGACTTGTTTATTAACCGGATAGGTCAAGTCGCTAATTAACCAATCAAAATGCTGGATGGTGCCCACGTGTCTGAATCACCATAGCTCATTTAATATGTTAATGACAGTTCAGCGACCTCATGGTAAACGCAACGCGGAAGAGATTTACCGATAATGTAATGCGATCTTTTGGCTTCGATTTCTATGGGAAAACGGCATGATTTTTTTTTTAAATCAAGAAATTATTTCTTTTGGAGAGATAAACTGAGCATTTGAAGAATAATTTAACATTGTTTACAGTGATAACAGCTCATTGTCGAAACGAAGCTTACCCATTCACGTTAGTCACGATAAAAATCATTCTCTTGAATAGGTGTCCAGAATTATTTAAATGTCCGAAAACAGAAGCCGAAATATTTTTAAAAAAAACGTGATTTCTTGATCTCATTTTATTTTAAAAACCAAACTGCCGTTTAACGGCCAAGGGCGAATTTACGGCAGAATATGGTACATTGTATAGACAGGATCCCTCTGATTGTAAGGTGACGTTACCGTAGTTCTGAGTGTGTGAAAAAATTACTGACCTCAATTAATTGAATCTGTGTTTCAATGTGAGAAGCACAAAAGGGAGTCTTTGCAGTTACCCTGTCTGTATGTCTGTATGTATGTCACTTTTTACCTTGCCCGTACCATCAAACATGGAAGGGAAACGTATATTAAGGGGAAAATTTTGTTCGGCGTTGTCGTTGTTGTTGTTGTCGTTGTCGTCGTCGCTAATAATTGTTATTGTGTGCATAATAACTTTACTAATTCTATTCCAAACTTTATCAAACTTGGTCACTTTATTCATCAGTATAAAGTCTTCCCCGAGTTTGAACAACAGATGTCCTGTATGAAAATATCATGCAAAAATTGAGAAAATCTGATAAAATATTTTGACTGTTTCTACTTCACTGATCACTGGTGATGCACATCAAAGGTCACTGATCTCAGTGGAAATATGCATTGTTGTATGTGTTCAATGAAACAAATGTTTTATCTTGTAATAATATCCTTGGTAATGTATCCCTCACTGGGTTTCAAAACCAACTCATAGAGAGATTGCACAGTCTGATACACATTTGCAAACCTACCAATAAAATCTTTACAGAAAACAAGATGTCAGAAAATCAATATAAGCACTCCTATGAACTGGGTGCTTAACTTTGATCAAGATCTGAAGCTAATAGAAAATCTGTTTAGTTCAAAGTTATCAAATCAAAAACAATGCATAAAAAATACATTAAAAGCAAAACATTTCATCCACATTTTAAAAAGAAAATCATTCTAAAATATATGTATTCTGTATTTGACAAACAGTTCATTCGACAAATGAAAACTCATAGGAATATGTTTCAGCTATTAGAACAGAATGATAGAGTTTTTATAAATACTAGTTTAAAAAC